CAGTGTTATGAATAGTTTATCCGATTCCAAAATGGTTATCAATTAGTTGAAGATGACCCTCAACCAGGAAAGCCTTCCACCTTAAAACTGTTGACACTTGTGTTCAGAAAATCAGTTGTGCATTTTGAATTTTTGCCTCAAAGTCAACCGTCAGTACTGCCCAGGTGTTTTGAAACAATTGTGTGAAAAAATTTGCAAGAAGAGACCAGAGTTGTGGCTAGACAACTCATGGTTCCTCCACCATGAGAATGCACATACTCAGCCATATCAATTTGCCAGTTTTGTGCCAAAAATCAAATGACTGTCGTCCCCTGCCTCCCTATTCACCAGACCTGGTTCCTTCCAATTTTTTCTTGTTTCTAAAATTAAAATCAGTCTGAAGGACACTGTTTTGACACAATTGATGACATTAAAATAAATCTGTCACAAGCATTGAAGGACAGTCCAAAGAAAGCTTACCGTCCTGGTAAGCTTTCTTTGGACTGTCCTTTAAGTTTTGCTAACTGCTTTGCTAAGTGAAAACACTGCTGGGATAAGTACATGAATAGGGGATAGGTGTACTTTGAAGGGGACAAGGACCAATAATCTGTAACTTTAATAATAAAATAAAGTTAGGTTATTTTTTGAACAGACCTCATATAATTGTTGGTAATCACACAGAATTTCTCAGTAATAAGCAGTTTCAGAAATATCAGAAGCAGTATCAGATTAATAATTATTAAGAAATACAACAGATCATAATATAATTTGTACAAGGTCTGTTCAAAAAGTATCGGACATTTTTTTTTTTCTGCATAAACCAATGATGCGCGAGAGACCTCCTTCGGTGGAGTTGTGGAGGAGACAGTCATGCACAGCCCTGAATTTTTTCCCGCCTGCAGAAAGCGTCAGTCGTTGGCAATCGGCCTATGAGTGAGTGGGGCTCTGCACCCAGGTTGTCCAGTGACCAAAAGATTAAAGGAAACAACAATCAAAAGAACCGATTATGGACTCTAATTCTACAATGGACAATACTCAGTCAATGATTATAAACAACACAGAAATTAATAGCATCAGGATTTTACAAGTTAATGTTCAAAGAAGTAAGGCGGCCAGTTCGACACTAATAAAAACGGCTAACGATCTTGACATTGATATAATTACAATCCAAGAACCATACACAATAAACAACAGGATTGTTCGATACAATAATTGGAGGATAATTTCAAACAGTAAGGACAAAAAGCCGAAATGCGGTATTATTATACGCAAAGATGATATAGACGTGGCACTGATACCACAACTGAGTAATGATATTATTACAACAGCATTAATAAATCAGGATCAACCAATATATCTGATAAGCATTTACTTGTCACCCTACGCGGATGACATTGATTGTATTAATAAAATGGAAGATGTTTTAAAACAATTAAAAGGAAAAAGTATTATCCTCACAGGTGACACGAACGCAAAATCCGCCACTTGGTTTCACCCCAAAGAGGATGAAAGGGGAAGAATGATTAATAACTTAATGGATGAAATGGACATGGTCTCGTCAAATATGTCCACAATTCCAACTTTTTATACAGGGTATGCCGAAGGGTGGACGGATGTGTTTATTAATACGAATAATATCTCCCACAAAATTTTGAATTGCGAAACGTTAACCAAAACATCGGCCAGCGACCATAGATTCATAATAGCGGAAATACAAACAAACCAAAAAAGAATCATTAATAATTGGAAAACTCAAAAATACATAAATTGGGAACTGTTTAAAGAGAATTTTGCTAAGAAATGGAGAACATTGAATTTCACACAAATAAATAACAGAAACGATCTAGAAGAATATGTGGGCTCCTTTACCAGGGCAATAAAACAAGCTATCTCGATAGCTACTTATTGTAAAAATGTCAGACAAACAGAAACGAAATGGTGGACGCAGGAACTCTCCTTAATGAAAAAGGACATAAGAAGGAAAAGAAGAAAAATAGTAAGGACTATTGAGAAAAATGAAAAAGAACAAATCAAAAAAGAATATAATAAGGCCCTAAAGAAGTACAAAAGGGAAATCAACAGACAAAGGANTAAAGGACTGCAAAATACTATAAGGAATATAACTAACGACCTATGGCAGAGGGAATGGACTTCCTCCAATACGGGAAGACATTGTTATGGTTTCTTTCCCTCAATACTAGAAAGGAAAGCCAACAAACATTTCAGAACTTCTTTTGGAATCACACAGTGCTTAACAGCTCATGGGAATTTTAAAAGTTACCTCTATAGATTTCATAAAACAGACAATAAAAACTGTGATATCGATAAACAACAAGAAGATAATGTTTACCATTTCTTGTACGACTGCTCAAAATATATGGTAGAAAGAGAAAAATTCCTTCATAGCTGTCTGAAAGCAGGGTATAACTGGCCTCCAAAAGATAGTGAATTAGTTAAAGATAAATCACTCTTTGAAGCTATGGAAAATTATATTATGAAGACTAAAACCCTGGTTACAATTTCAAAGCACTATAGGATGGCAGAAAGTGTACACAATGATGAAGAAGAAGATAATGACATAACAGATTTTTCACAACATAGTGATGAAGACGATAGCTTCAGTGAGTAAACAAGACTTTTGTGTGCTCATTGGAGAGATGGCATGTTTTTTTTTCATACTATTCATCTTGTCATTCACCATGTAAATATTGTAATTAACATTTTATTTAATTTTACTTAATTTCTTTTGTAAAGGTGTTTTTGACCTGTCGAGCTGACAGGACAGTTGCTTTTGCGTGAACACCTCAAATTTTTTTCTGGAATGAATAGGATATGGAAACCTACTGTCGGGACCTTGAATTGTACTTTTGATACTGCTGTATCTGTCTTGTAACTTTTTGTTTTGTTTTAATAAACGCCGATGAGAGGCGCTCTCTGGGTCCCATGCCTTCTTTCAAACTTTCCTATCTTCCTTTCTTTTCACACTTCACATCTCATGCTTTCTCTTCTTTCCTACTTCTACAGGGTTAAGTCCATCGCTTAAAAGACGGACAGCTCTCTTCTCTCCTTTTAAACATGGGCCTATGAGTGAGGTCATGTAGTGCGCTCTCGTCGGATTCCACTAAGCTGGAAAATGACTGAACAACGTGAGCAGCGATATTACATCAAATTTTGCCAAAAACCTTGGCGATACCCAAGCGTAAACCATTCGCAAGATTCAGCAGGCTTTTGGGGACGATCCTCAAGGCCAAAAAAAGTGCGGCAGGTCCGCAGCAATATCAAAGGTCATGTTGACAGTTTTTTCGATTCTCGTGGTGTGGTGTGTCGTGAGTTCGCACCACAAGGCCAAACCATCGCAAAGGAGTACTACCAGGAGGTCCTTCATCATCTTTCCGATGCTGTGCGACACAAACGATCGGATCTGTGGTCGATCAAAACTTGGCAGCTCCATCGTGATAACGCATCCGGCCATTCTGCGCATCTGATTTGGGCTTTCGTCGCCAAACATAACACTCGTGTGGTTCGTCACGCTCCGTACTCTCCCGACATGGCTCTGTGTGACTTTTGGCTATTTCCCAAGCTGAAAATGCCGCTAAAAGGAACCCGCATTTAGTCGAGAGAAGAGATCGTGCAAAATCCGACGTACCGGCTGATGGACATTCCAAAAGATGCGTTCCAGCAGTGTTTCCAGCAATGGCAGGAACGGCTGGGAGAAGTGTATACATTACAAAGGAGACTACTTTGAAGGGGATTAGGGTTTTGTACATCAAAATCAATAAATTTATTTTTGCCGACCAAAGGTCTGATACTTTTTGAACACACCTTGTACAACAACCCTATCGCGTCCTTTGAGGTATACTACTGATGCGACAAAAGAGGCATTTGACATTGACCGATATCGGCACCCTTGGGATGCCGATATCGGTCAATGTCATGCACCTACCAAGACCGTCTCTGATTCCATCCATTAGTCACTCATAGGGAGCTATTTGAATAAGCGGATTGTTTTAAGATTTAAAAAGTAAAGATAATTTTATGTTATTTTTATGTACATTTCTTTACAAAGCTATATTTAATTATAATTTTCTTTAAAAGTATATTAATATAATTGAAGAATATTTTGTACCAGGTATGTACTGTACATCCACCACACATTTTATTTCACCAAGTAAGTTTTTATTATTTTATTTATAATCGTAGCCCTTATATCGTGGCTAGCGATTCAGAATGTAATTGTGATATTGAAAATACATTTCGAGAAGTCTGCGGTTTTTACTAGCTTATCGAACAAACGATATGAATGGACCCTTGACCATCACTGAAGCGCAATTGACTGATTGCCCCTGGATGTCGGCTTCTTACAGAAACACAGCTTCCCTACTATCAAATGTCACGGCACGCCACTGATAAATAGATATAGCATTGTATTTGGCATAAAGATCTCATGATGTTTTCAAATTTCAAGAATATGTGAAGCATGCAATGCCATAACGTTGTAAATGCCATTTTTTTCTAAATACATGTTATTGAAGAATTGAATTCTAAATGCAATGTTTTCTGCCACAAAAAATATTGTGGCAATATTGGCAGTGTAAGTGGCTGTATTTTGAAGATGAATTTATGTGAAATTATATTTAAAGTGCTGGAGTGCAAGTCACGTGACTTTTGGCACGTAAAATGTTGTGGCTTATATTTACATCATTTTGATATTCCAGAGAATTTGTAACCCAGTGCATTTTTTACCATTTTATTGTAAAATTGAAATGAATTCATTAATTAGAAAAAATGTTTTTTACATCTCCTGAAAAGTTTCTTTTTTGGCATTTACAACATTATGACATTTCATGCTTCATGTATGTAAAATTTATTAATATTTATAGAAATGTCATTGAAATATAGACTACATTTAAGATGACATACATAATTTAAAATGTATTTTTTATTTATGGTTCAATTATCTACTAAAAAATATTAGTTAGTAAATTTATATGCTGTTTTATGAATTTAATATGGCTATTTACCCTTTCCTTGGATATACAGCAACTGCACGTGGTTCATCTAAATCTAAATCAATAAGAATAGTTCTTGATGAACCATCTAGTCTTGCTACTTCAATAACATTTTGTCCAGTATCAGTCCAATATAAGTTTTTGGCAATCCAATCAACTGCTAGTCCATCTGCTATTTCTAAATTACTGCTTATAATAGTTTTCAAATTGCTACCATCCATATTTATGCTCCTGAAATTTGAATTGCATTGCAAATTAATAATAAAGATATTAATTCTAATAAAAAAGTTAGAACAGTGATTCACCAAACCTTATTACATCTAATCGCACATCTGTATAGAATATCCTTTTGCTCTGATAATCATAATCAACTGCAACTGCATTGTATATATCAGGAATAGAAATAAATACATTTGAATTATCTGCCGTATCCATAGAAATTCGACGGATGCTTTTTTGGCTTGCAAACAGTAAAAAAGTTGTAGGAACTGAAATACATAACGCTTTATTTTACTTAACCAATTTGTATATAAATTTAATCTCTTAAATAATGAGTCATTTTAAATTTTTATTTATTTGATATATATTTTAAAATCAATACTGATTTAATATAGAGCAGTGTTTTTTAACCTTCTTGAATAAACAACCCCTTTACAAGTTAAAATATTCTGGCAACCCCCCAAGGCCATATTAAAACTATGTCAGTGATTTTAAATACTACGTATTTAAGTTTCTTTCTGTTGAGACCTAAATATCGATCAAAAAATCAATTGTACTGTAAAATAAACAGGCACAGCCTTCTCACTGAGATTGTAGTTTTTTTTATTGTAGTATAAGACCTACAAACACTTGTCTTTTTCTTTTACGCGCGACCCCCGTGTAAGGCTTTGCGACCCCTCTGGGGGTTGCGACCCACAGATTGAAAAACACTGATATAGAGAAAGTGAGAATCTTACAGATTATTATTAGATTCCTTTTTATTTATTAAGATAAATTTTAAAATTTGATGATTTCAAATTTATTCCAAGTAAAATATATAGGAAATTATTAAGTTAGAAAACTTTAAAAAACTGATTTTATTTCCTAATGCAACTTTTTCAACAAAGATTTGATACTTTTGATAAAGATTATCAAAAGGAGGGGTTGCAAACTTTATTGGTCTGGAATCAAGACAGTTAGTGCTTAGTGTAGGATTTATGCAACAGCACTGTACTTAGCTGCATCTCTTCATGAGAAACATTGTGGTAATTTACTAAGATGAAATATTCTATATATAATAAATTTTGAATTCTTCAAAGCAAGCAATTTTAAAAAATTTAATTCCGTGAAAATCTGGGGTTAATGATTTAATTTGTCAACGAACATAACAAATTCTTGTTATAAGTATTTAAATAATTTTTACTTGTTTTTGAAAATGGAACATCCTGTTCAATTGGTGAAAGATAACACAGTTCCTTCAAAACTGATAGTTTAGTGTAGGATTTTACACATCTATTCATAAAACCACTCAATTTCCATCATGGGCCAGAAGAGTGGGCTTAATTCAATTGTTTTGATTGGAAAAGATTTCTGTTAAAAAGTGATAGGTTACCTCCAAAAGCTAGCTAGCTTAGATCAGATCAGCTCAGTTTAGTTCAGCTTAGCTCACAGCTCTCCTACAAAAACTCTGACCTCAGTGTTCTTGTCCTCCTATGGGGCAAGTTGAGATCATCCATTTACTCTCCAGAATGAACTAAAGATTCCTGTCATCTCTCATCTGTCAATTTAATAGAAATAGTTCATCTTAAAGTTCAAGGAGACCTACTAATAGAGATACAGTAGAGCCTCGATTATCCGACTGAATTGGGGACTGGGGTTGGTCGGATAATTGAAAAGTCGGATAACCAAAAAGTATGAAAAAATCCATTATTAGTTGTAGTATATTATTATATCCCATGTAATTAGTATATTAGTATATCGCTATTAACCTACTTTGCGTTGAATTTTCATCGATGTTAAGCCCAACAAAAATTTTTTAAAATAATAATCGTCGCTATTGTATCGTTAAAAATTAGAAAATTAAGCCTCATTTAAATACTGGCTCCCTTTCATGGTCGAATGAGTGTTGCCAGCTAAAACACACAAAAATAATATTAAAGTAGCCAAGACATAGCCAAATATTGTAGCGCCACATCACTAGCGGACATTTGAAATTTGCCGACTAGGACNGAGTATTTTGCACACCTTGACAAATCGACCTATTGTGATGGCATAAAAAAGCTAGAACATCGCTGGAATAAGTGCATTGCTAACAAAGGAGGCTACATTGAAAAATAAAAGAAGTTTTAACATTATTTTGTTTGTCGTTCTATTTGAGGCTTCGAACTTTCCGAGCAGCCCTCGTAATTGAAAAAGTAACCACATGGTAAACAATAAGTACATCAGTACACCCAACAGCAATGCAGTAGTTAACTATTATTATTGAATTATCATATCTTCAACTTCCAAATAAGTATGAAAATCTCTTTGATACTCGATTTAGCTGTCATACCATCAACAAATTTATTCAGACTACATGAGTTTGCAAGACAATTATAAAAATTGTTCTAATTCTACAACTGTTCAACTGTTTTTAAGAAAACGAACGTGCAGGATGTTCCAAAAGAACATAATATTTAAATTCAAACAAGCGTCCGGAAATTCCGTTACGAACGTGCGAATTTCGTAACAGAATTTCCGGACGCTTGTTTGAATTTAAATATTATATTCTTTTGGAACATCCTGCACGTTCGTTTTCTTAAAAACTTGTTCTTTTCGCCTGAAGACGACGGTTATACACACGTCGAAAGTACTTGTGTGATTACTAAAGAAGTTTATTAACGCCGTACTCAGTGAATTTGTACCCAGAAGCTATACAAATATTGGCATGAGTTTTTAAAGTCATCATAAATGTATGATAGGGTCAACTGGAGCCCCAGAAATTCACAATCTTTTTATTTTTAATTTTTTAATATGAACTATTTACTTATAAATAAAAACGAGATAATCCAGGACAAAACCACAGCATTTTTCCAAGCTGGGACAGAGTCAAAAACCAGGACTGTCCTAGTTAATCCTGGATGTTGGTCACTTCAGGTTTACCGAATAATATTGAACACAGCCTTCATCTGATATATATATATTTGACTGGCTGCATTTGAATTTTGAATTCCTTTCTTGAAGTGTCTGACCCAGATATGTTGGACATTCTCTCACAATCTTGATGTTCAATTGAAAATTTGATTTAAATCTACATGGGCATATTAAAAAATAGAAAGAGCTTATATGTATGTATGTATATAAACACTTTCTAAAAGATATTAAAAATATTAGTTAATATTTCATCTTATATTTTATAATCCATATATTTTATCAGTTGTTTGCATCAATTTTCATATTTAACATGAAAAACTCTTAAATTTTCAATTATATTAAATTTATACATCACAACTTGAAAATATTTACCATCATCACAAGAGTATCCATCATCATGTAATACTATGCCAGTTGGACAAGCACATGTATAACCATGAGGATTTCGTAAACATAGATGAGAACATTTTCCATTATCATCACCACATTTATTATGACTTACTGTAAGATAAAGTTTTTTTTATATAATATCATTATTCAAATAGTTATATAATGTATAAAACAGCAATACTTTGATCATCTGGGTGAACTGCTCTAATATCCATTAGACCAGATAAATTGTCACATACAGTTTCAATATTTTTATTATTTTTCTTTTTAATTCTTTGAATGGCACGAATTTCCCAATCTGTCCAATAAATGTAACCACCTGATACAGTCAAGCCATAAGGGTGAGGAACATGTTCAATAATAATTCGTCTATTTTTTCCGTTTAAATCTGTTGCTTCAATTACCTGATATAAATATTTATAAAAATTAATTATGATTAATAAAAATAACTGTATTAAAAATGTTAATTTTTAATATATAATAAAAATAAAACTCACATCTGTTTTAGCATCAGCCCAATATAATTGATTGCTTCTGCTGTCTACTGTCAAACCATTTGGCCAGCCTAAATTTTCTTTAACAATAACTATTCGATTATGGCCATCCATATCGGCTCTTTCAATACGAGGAATATTTCCCCAATCCGTCCAATACATATATCTAATGGAGAATATATTTTAAACATTATACAGAATTATAAATACAAATATATAACAATTTATACAGTATACAGACCCCATTTGATATATTAGGGTTATTGCTCGAGGGCTATCTAAATTCTCCCATATGAGAACTTTCTGAAATTTTCCATTCAATTCACAAACTTCAATTGACTTATGACCACTGTCAGTCCAATAAATTTTTCGTCCATGGAAGTCTATAGCTAATCCATCAACTGTATCTAACCCATGAATAACAATATCTTCAATGTGACTTCCATCTAAGTTTGATCTTTGAATTTTATCTAATCCATTATCTGACCAATAAATCTTTTCTATAATAAGATATTAAAAATTTTTTTAATTAATTCAATAGTATTTCAATACTAATTTTGAGTAATTTCTCACCTTCTACGCTATCGACATCAAGTGCAATAACATTATCTAAATTCTTTATGGGTAAAACAACATCAGCCAAATAAGAAACATCTAACGATATACGTCTTATATCAGTTCTTCGAGCTACAATAATGTATGATTGCATACCTATAATGTAAGCAAAAATATGATGATAAATTACAACCAAACAGTTATACTGAAAGTAATTAGTTTCTTTAAATAAATTTTAGAATTTCACAACCTAGAAATTACTAATGGATTATATAAAATTGAAGTAAACCTATTTCAATAAAATAGCAAAAGACATAAAAAGTACATGGAATATTGTTAGTTTATTAATTTTAATATTTTGATATAATAAAAATAATTACTATAACAGCCATAAATCTCAGCTAAATGGCCTAGGCAGAAAGGCATTCCGAAACTTGGAATCAAATCTGGAAGGCAAAGAAGGCAGTCTTTTCCAGATATGTCAAGTTCTATCCCTCATCACTCATCTGTCCCATTGTGGGCCTGTAAAAATGTCCCCACATTGCCCACAGAGTGAAAAGTAAAAACAAAAAAAGCTACATATTTCTCAGAAATTAACATCTTTTCATAATTAATTATTTATAGAATTTTCACTAAATTACTATTGCAAGCAAACAATAGATATTATGATTGAGACTTTTGTAAGATAGGAGCTTTGTGATTAATTTGAATACCATTCTCTATTGCAAAGGCTGGTAGGGAATTTTACAATAGAAAGGGGCTACTATCATAAATCTAGAGACTTTCTCAATAAAGAACAACATTCAGATTGATCCAAACAAAGCTACCATCTTAAACCAACATGGGCTGTCCCTCTTTTGCATCTTGAAAAATTGGAAATATACAAGGTGACCATTAATTACAAGGACATAAAGACCATCTGGAAATCCTTATACAAAGTATCTTAATCTAGATTCCTCCATCCCCTCAAAGTATGGACAATACTTTTGAACTAATAACTTCACATTGTACAGTATATTGATTTTCCTACATAGTTTCAATTTTTGTTACAAGTAATAATGCAAGCAGTTGTATCAATATTCTTTTTGTTTTTAAAAATACAGATAAACACACTGAAACACCAAAAACCAGAAACAAACAAGAATTTTTAATGTAAAAACATAAAAACAAACATTTTCCAGCATATTAAATGGTCATTTTCTTAAATGGAACAAAATATAAAATACATATTTAAATAAAAACAAACATCATGTGTGAGGAGTCTTGCACATGTTTGATGTGGAAGGTGAGACAAGATTTAAAAGAAATTAAGATACAAAATTTATAGAAGTTTGTAGAGTGCCTTCCATACTGATAAGACAGAGTCTGCCTCTTTATAATTAATTGCAGTTCCTTTTCTATAGGCTTTATAAATCTCAATAATTTCCAAATATTTGATACAGACCAGGTTGAATAAATGGTGTAAAAGGTATTCTTGATTGAAAGCAATATATCTAATGAATATTGTTTACCCTGGTTGCCTTTACCTATGATGTTTGTGATGGAAAGACCCTTTCTGATGGAGTATTCACAATTCATGTTCCTTAATTTGAATGTTTAGGCATCTAACTGTTGCTACTACATATGCTCAAGGATAGTTGACCCTGTTGTTCTGGATGGGGATAGTGTATGTACCCAGCATGAATTTTCTCTCAGATCGGGCCTTGGCATTCTTGATTATTGAAAAAACAGTTGGGCTTCTCCTGCAAGTGATATTAAAATTACCTGTGTGGGCAATATTCTTGTAGATGTTAGAGCAGGTCTTATTTTAGGTAGCCACTTTATAGGATTTACTTTTTAGATCTGATCCAATTGTCACACTAACTTGTATGTTCTAATTATGATCACTGAATTTATTATGTTAAACCTGATGATGACTGTTTAAAGTGGTTGACAACATTACTTTGGCCCTGGCAAAACCACATATATATAAATAAGTATCTTGTAAAACTGGATGAAGATCAAAATCAAAACATACTTTATAGACAAAGTTTACAGGAAGATCATAATTCAAATTTTCCAAACTACATCAAAATTGGACTACTTAATGGAATTCATTTTCCTTTATGTCCATATTCAGAATCTCTCTCTCCAAGGATTTTGATAGCTTTTTTCAAGAATAAGATTCCTTGGCCTCAGAAGAGCTGTCCATAGAAAAAGAAGGTATTAATACATGTCTTGGTCTTCCTGAAAGACATTTTTGAAGTCTCTTATTCTTAATTGTAGAAATAAATATAAAAATACAACGTTTAACTAAAGAAAATACTTTGCTTCTGTGAGAATACGGACGAGGGTCCAGGCCCTCTAATCGTCAGATCTGTTAGACCTGCTCACTTTGTCACCGGATGGCTTAATTTTTCTCAGAACCCGGGTGGTAAGATTCTGTGTGGGTTGTGCATAAGTAACAAATACCAGACTACGAAGGTTATATAATATAAAATTAACAATTTAATTATGGAAGAATAAAATACCAAATACAAATAATAGAACAACAAAACATAAAACATCTGTCTAACTTAAGACTAGGGAGGTTCTTCTTATAGTAGATAATTTGATTAGAATTAACAATAATACTAACAAATAATAAAAATACAGATGTAGAACATGAAAAATACAAGACTTATATCCTATCTTGAGACTAGGATCTGCCTTATCTACTGAGAGAGAGAGTTTTACAATAATCATATTACCTCGTTGTTCATATTGGGAACCTTTATCTCGTTGATTTCTTCCTGTAGAGGTGGAGTCGGGAGACAGGATAAGCTGTTGGAGTCGGAGTGCTCACTATGGCACTTTCTGATCGAACTCCCCGAGAGTCCGCTAATCAGCCCTTTTATCCCCAATTATTTCATAATATTTTTCCTAGAAATTGGTTATGACATTTCAGCAGGTGGCGTGCAAAATTCCAAGATACGAGGCGTGGAGGAAGGAAGCAAAACATCCTCAGTTCTTGTAAAAGTGCTACGTGACAGAGCAGTTTTACAGGATGTAAAAATTTATAACCTTATTAGGTTATGTTTTATTAATTATTCCAAACTTTATCATTTTTAGGCATTAAAGTAATATTTTTATCCAAGTTTGTTTAAAGTAAAATTATATAAATTGATTTGAGAATCCCTCCGGATTGTCACACTTCTGTTATTCTTCTGTCACTTGCTCCAGCGACAACCCATAAAATTCACAAGTACAAGTTGTCGTGAAAACCAAACGAATGATTGATGGGAATATAGAATACTGTAAAATTTGGATAGCCTCTGTACATTGTATAAGAATCAGATTTTATGTTAACTCACTTTCATGTTGAGAAAATAAAACTTACCTTCTTGGAATGTCTTCTTTTGTGTTAAGAGTGTATCATACAATACAGCAATGAAATGGAATGTGCACAGGCTCCCTCAGGGTTTCTCAGCAGGCTACGTAATATAGTGGTATGTTTCACCAATACAGAGTTCACACAAATTACATATGCTCAAGGCCAACATCCCTGCACTGTCCACAAAAATCCAATACCTGGAACAAGTCTTCTTCAACAAGTCTGTCCCACCCACAATAAAGATCAAGAAGATACTTCAGAAATTTATAACTAGTAATATTGATACCTATCACCAAACTGTAATGGATCCCAAAACCATATTCTTTGTTTAATTAATGATGAACACAACACTGAGTGAAAATTATATAAATTTGTATAGTTTAAATCCCAAACAATGTTGTTCAAAGTATGTAAAAAAGTCTGTAAACTATCTATCAGTATAATCTACTACTGTTGGGTTTAGATTCAGGTTTATCCTGTGTATTGCTGATTGTTTGAATTAACTATACTTGAAACACAATTAGAACTGGATATAAAAACAAAACAAAATAACAACACAGAAATCACTAAACTACAGAAAAAACTCACTTCACTAAAATAAAATAAATGTTTGATATTTTTAGAATGTCATCACCAAGTTTATGTAGAATGGAATGCAAAACAGAAGATAGAATACAATTTGAAAATTAAAATCCATTAATGCATTATTTTTCATCCAATCAGATATAGTTGAGATCATCACATTTAAGTGGTACAGAAATGCATGTTAGACTAAAAAGGTATTTTGAACATATTTCCTTATACTACATTTACATATATATATGATACAATGAAAGCAATCAAGATTTCACTCAAAGAAATACAATTAATTTATTATGCTGAAAAATATTACTATTATATATATACACATATATACACTTCACCCTTCAAATTGTGCCTATTAAGTTTCACTGTTTACTACTATTTTGTTGTTACACAAGATATTAAGGGATCAGCTTCCTATTCTAGAAGAGTTAGCTAAAATTTTGACCTGGACTTGAACTTGTTTTCATACATACTTTGACCTAGATCAGGGGTCGGCAGTTTGTCAAGTGAGAAGAGTCAAATTGTCATGGAAACAGTATAACAAAAGTATCAGAGAGCCGCATATATAACGCGCGCCAGGGAGATGCTCTCCAGTGCACGTTACAGGCATTCCGTGACAATAATAAATTCCTATTACAAATATACTGAATTATTTATATTGTTATTGGCTATTGGCCAAATGAATAATAATAATTTGTACTGTTAATTTAAATGTACGAAATACGACACACGACAGGGGTGCCTCTAGTGGCCGATTATGGCATAACGTTACACAGACGGACACGCGTTCAATGGGATAACCCATTGAACGCATGTCCGTCCGTGTAACGTGTTGAATATGTATAATATATATATACATACAATATCTATATATAAATAATATACAATATACANTATTATTTTATTTATAATCGTAGCCCTTATATCGTGGCTAGCGATTCAGAATGTAATTGTGATATTGAAAATACATTTCGAGAAGTCTGCGGTTTTTACTAGCTTATCGAACAAACGATATGAATGGACCCTTGACCATCACTGAAGCGCAATTGACTGATTGCCCCTGGATGTCGGCTTCTTACAGAAACACAGCTTCCCTACTATCAAATGTCACGGCACGCCACTGATAAATAGATATAGCATTGTATTTGGCATAAAGATCTCATGATGTTTTCAAATTTCAAGAATATGTGAAGCATGCAATGCCATAACGTTGTAAATGCCATTTTTTTCTAAATACATGTTATTGAAGAATTGAATTCTAAATGCAATGTTTTCTGCCACAAAAAATATTGTGGCAATATTGGCAGTGTAAGTGGCTGTATTTTGAAGATGAATTTATGTGAAATTATATTTAAAGTGCTGGAGTGCAAGTCACGTGACTTTTGGCACGTAAAATGTTGTGGCTTATATTTACATCATTTTGATATTCCAGAGAATTTGTAACCCAGTGCATTTTTTACCATTTTATTGTAAAATTGAAATGAATTCATTAATTAGAAAAAATGTTTTTTACATCTCCTGAAAAGTTTCTTTTTTGGCATTTACAACATTATGACATTTCATGCTTCATGTATGTAAAATTTATTAATATTTATAGAAATGTCATTGAAATATAGACTACATTTAAGATGACATACATAATTTAAAATGTATTTTTTATTTATGGTTCAATTATCTACTAAAAAATATTAGTTAGTAAATTTATATGCTGTTTTATGAATTTAATATGGCTATTTACCCTTTCCTTGGATATACAGCAACTGCACGTGGTTCATCTAAATCTAAATCAATAAGAATAGTTCTTGATGAACCATCTAGTCTTGCTACTTCAATAACATTTTGTCCAGTATCAGTCCAATATAAGTTTTTGGCAATCCAATCAACTGCTAGTCCATCTGCTATTTCTAAATTACTGCTTATAATAGTTTTCAAATTGCTACCATCCATATTTATGCTCCTGAAATTTGAATTGCATTGCAAATTAATAATAAAGATATTAATTCTAATAAAAAAGTTAGAACAGTGATTCACCAAACCTTATTACATCTAATCGCACATCTGTATAGAATATCCTTTTGCTCTGATAATCATAATCAACTGCAACTGCATTGTATATATCAGGAATAGAAATAAATACATTTGAATTATCTGCCGTATCCATAGAAATTCGACGGATGCTTTTTTGGCTTGCAAACAGTAAAAAAGTTGTAGGAACTGAAATACATAACGCTTTATTTTACTTAACCAATTTGTATATAAATTTAATCTCTTAAATCCAGAAACTTCCGTCCACTATTGGCTAGTCTGTCCACAATACACACGGGCCTGCCAAGAGGTAGGCCGTCTCTTAACCTTGGACCTTACGATCGTCCGAACCTTAACTCCGATATACTGGCCTCATACCGACCTTCCTCCTCGCCAACATATCGAAATCTTGGCGCATTTTGTTCACCGTACCAACCGCTTTACCTAATTTCTAAGCGGAGTGATTCGGAGAAAAAGCCAACAGGCTAGAGTCTCCATATTAATAAGATAAGAAAGAAAGAAAGAAAGAATGCTGCCACTCGCATGCGACTCATATTGATCAGCGCGAGTGTGGTCATGTGCGAACGGGCTAGAGTGGTAGAGAGTATGCCGTGCGAGTTGAACTTTGTTCGGCGGCTCTATCTCATAAATTCATAAGTTATAAGGCTGCGGTGAAATAAGGTGAGGTAAAATTGGAGTTTATGTTCGAAGAGCCGCAAACGTCTATGCAAAGAGCCACTAATTCCGACCCCTGACCTAGATGTATTAAAGTCCCTTCTCACCACCCTGTTTCTCTCATTGTGGGAGTGATTAAAGTAAAAGATAAGTATGAATCCTCTGAACTACCAATGCCCAATATTTTTATCCTCTTAATATCCAGAGGATAAAAATAATTAATCTGAAAGGCTAATTAATTAAAATCTAAAGTACTTATACCACTATATCATTTGTGATCATATTACAATTCAATAATTTTTTCTTACTTTCTGAGCAAGTTCGCATATCTTCTTTAAGTAAAATTCCTGTAGGACAAGCACAGGTATGACCTATTGGAAGAGGAGCTATGAGGCATAGATGACTGCATCCACCATTTTGTGATTCACACATGCTACTAACTATAACAATAATTGTATATGTGAAATTATTTATGAATTTTAATTAAAAATCAAAATATAAGAAGAATAAATACCAGCCAATCTGTTACTGTGAAAAACATGAATATCCATGAGACTATCAAGATCAGTCAAAAGAGTCACTCTCTCTTCTCCTGTCAGTTTATTTGCACTCTGGATGCTTTGGTTTTCCCAATCTGTCCAATATACTTTATCTTCATACAAAGTCAATCCAAATGGATGTGGCAAATCAGTTGCTATAAGGATCTACCATTATTAATCAGAATCAGTTAAAAAATAAACTTCAAACTTTATTACATTAATATTTAAAAAATTTTAAATGATAGAAAGTACTATATCTGAACTATCAATGGACAGAACAGGCCCTGATTCATCATTCTATTTAATCCAGTTCTCTATCATATATAATTAGAAATACAATTTTCAGATATTTAGGTAATAAATTCAAATTCATGATATTTGCAGATTTATAATTTATTATCTTTTCCATAATTTTATTTAGGGCTGTAGAGAGTCAATCTGTATCACTCAAAGACAAAAGACTCTATCTCCAAAAAAAAAATTAAAAATCAAGTTTGCACACTTGTCATTATGCCTAATTAGTATTCTTTATTGATACCATCCAATATTCTGTGTGAAAAATGTTCTGTAATAATTACAAAACATTTTTCTGTAGAACTCTGTGAACTTGCAATATCTATGTTATATCTCTTGCGTAAAATTCCTATTTTAAAAATAGGAATTTTACGCAAGGCTATAACATAATTTATTAGACAGTCAATTAAAATTACAGAAACAAAATCAATTTATCTAATTCAAAATGTACTTAATATGTACAGTGTGTTCCAAGAAGGGCTAAGCCAGACTTACACAAAGTATGGTCAAAAAGTTCTTGGATTGTGCACACAACTTTATTAAAATAATTTTTTTTATAAATTTTCTGAAACCGTGTTTTATAATTTTCTATGATTCTCAAACACAACACTGTGCTACTATTTAAACACTTGGCATTTTTTCATCTTTATTCAACACCGGAGTAAAATCCTCACTTCTGTAACCTGTTACCGGTGCATTACATGTAAAAAATACAGTGGGTGACAAACATTTTCGAACTATCGCAAAGTTCTTCAGGTCAAACAAGTTTGGAATGCTTCAGAATTGAACTTAAAGATTTAAAACGAAATCAATTGTCATTTCAATGAAATCTGTTTCACCAGGCATGTGCGATCATGCGCTGATGGATATAATTATGGGTTGGCATCTATGAGGGCCTGTAAGGCTAGTGATAGATTAAGCTCCTCCTCCTGGTTGAGGCAGGTGGTCTCTCAGCTAGCTTTGTAAATGGCTATGTCTTCTAGCCACTTAAGATGGTCCTGGTGGGGTGTGCTGACGACAATTTTGACCTTGTCAAACTCCGCCTCGATGTCCGGATCAGATGCATAAGTAGTGTGCTATCCATGTTGAATGTCCAGTCAGTGTTCTTTTACACAGACACTTAAGGAGTATTTTGTAGAATCAATATATAATGAGTCCTTGCCCCATCTATTGTCCTTAAGTGAGATGGAGTATATACCAGGAAGTCTGGTATGATCTGGAGGGTCTTTTTCATTTTGGAGGATGTTGAAGATTGTTGGACATTGCCTGTATGCTATCTGCAATTGATGTTTGTTGGCAATCTCACATACACTGCCTTAAGATACAGGTTAAACATGATGAGAACACATGTTGGACTGTCAGGATCTAAGTTGGCACTATCATGTGTGGTGGGAGTGCGTTGCAAGCAGTGATATCACTCGACCAAATGGTGCATCAGGGTGGGGTACCCGTGTTTGGTTGCTATCCTCTTAACTCGAGCTAACTCATCTGATAGGTCTTGTGAGGTGGATGAATGTGAAAATGCCCTTCTGACTAAAGCATTAAAAGCTGCAGTCTGGGAATGGATCGCACGAACCGACTGGTATGTACATAGAAGTAGCACATGGCTTGCGGTACACCAATGTGTGGATGTTGGATCCTTCCATTCTAATGTTAATGTCCAGAAAGTGGACTTCTTTGCTGCTAGCTTGCTCAATTCCTACTGTTAAGCCATACGGAATGTTATTGACGGTTTGCACAAAAGACATCATGTCTGGTATCATCCTCCACATGATGAAAATGTCGTCAATGTATCTCTTATATAGTATATTGTTTGGGAGGAATGGTGAAGGATCTTGTGCTTAAGTTGTCTAATGACTATTTCACAAAGGTCTCCAGACACAGGGATACCCATGGATACTCCCCCTCTTCTGCTGGTAAACAGTACCATCAAAAGTAAAAATAGAATCGTAACAGATGAGATGGGCCATTTCTAGTACTTGTTGGTGTAGTGCCTGATCTTGAACCAAAGTAAACAAAAAATCCCTAAGGGAGCAAAAGACTGGAGGGAACTCCACCAAACGGTAAAGAGATTTGAAGTCCAAGGTAATAAATTGTAGTGATGAGGGTAGATCCTATAGAAGGTGGATGAGGTCAACTGGGTTATTGATGGTGTGAAGGTAGGCTTCCAGGTGGGGAGATAGTAAGTTGTGGATGGCCTTCTCAAGCTTCCGTGTGGGTGCCCTTGCTTTATCCACTATCAGATGTAATTGTTGGCCCACTTTATGCATCTTTGTGAAGGCAAAAAGCATAGGTGCGTCTGGGGAATCAACCACTATGTTGCCTGACATCAGACATTTGGCTAACTTAGAGTTTGCAATAGTTCAAAAACATTTGTCATCCACTGTATTTTTTACATGTAACGCACTGGTAACAGGTTACAGAAGTGAGAATTTTTATTATAATATAAAAACAGAAGAATAACAATAACTTTTCTACCTGACGATTTTGTCCATTCAAATCACTATATTCAATAGTTTTCATTCCTGCATCTGCCCAATATAATTTTTCTTTTTCATAATCAATGGCTAAACCATTGGGCCAAGTAAGATTGTGGTCAATCAAAACAATTCTGCTTGATCCATCCATTCCTGCTCGTTCAATTTTTGGTGTCTGTCCCCAATCTGTCCAGTACATGAAACTAAAATATACTGCATGTAAATATGCTAAAAACTTTAATTTAAAAAATTTTATAAAAATAATTAGCGATTTCTCACCCTCCAATTGGATCAACAATGATATCTCTTGGGCGATCCAGGTTTGCCCAAATCAGAATAGTTCTCATGCTTCCATCTAGATAAGATACTTCGATGCGATCAGTACCAGAATCAGTCCAATATAATTTGTGACTGACCCAGTCAACAGCCAATCCTGCTGGACTTTCTAAATTTGTTCCAATCACAACCTAAAACACAGTTATTTTTTTCAAACATTTTAGATATTACATCATCACAATTTATAATTTGAAATTTTTGGAATATTTTCAAATTTTGCTAGTCAACATAATAAAATTTTTGTATTAGTTGACATTAAAAAGTGGATATTTGCATAAATAAAATTAATATGAATACATTTTTTTCTACAACAATTTACTTAAACAAATAGGCATCTTCATTATGAAATAAGCAACATAATCATTGTATGATTTTAAAGATATTATAAAACAGGAGTGTCCAAGCCCTGTTTTATAATGTCTTTAAAATCACATGCACAAGTTCCAATGCAGCCCAATAAATGTATAAACAAAACCAACAAATTTTTTTTATTATTTATTTATTTCAACTGCATAAACCTCAAAAAAGTTTCACAAAGCTTTAAACCTTTATACATATTTTACTTTTTAATAGAAAGGAAATATTTTCAAATACATGAAATGTGTGAATGAGGAAGGAATACTAAATAAAGTTGGAATCATGACTCAAATACCCCAAATTTGGGGAAAGGAGAGAAAGGCCAAAAGATAAAAAGAAGTGAGAAATGTTGGAAAATTAAGGATCAATATTTGCATAACAGAAGGTCTATTTAACCTTTCTCACTTTATTTTTTGACCTTTCTCTCCTTTCCCCGAATTTGGTTCTATAATCCTTTGAATCCCAACTCTAGCTTTATTTAATATTGCTTTTAGTGTTGCAAGATTTAGCTACGTTGCACCAAATTTGGCTACTCTTTTTTTATTTTGGCGTAAAAAATATCATGTAACCCAAAATGTAGCCAATGCGGCTACATTTTGGGCTACATATTATTTATAAATATATTAGTTGAATAAAAATGCACTTTAAAATAGTGTTTAGTTGTTCTTTTATTAATTAAAGACTCAAATAAAATAAATATTTGTGTTTTTCAAATAAATTTTTGTTTTTCTCCTTCATAATAAATAAATTTATCTATTTGTAAGTAGAAATTAAAAGTGTCTGTAGAAGTAATTTTTTAAAATATCCTTTTTCGTAATTATAGTAATAGGTATTAAAACTTTATTTAAGGATTTACATGTATAGATATACTTGTATATTTAAGGATTGGGCCACAATATATTGTGGCCCAGAATTCCAATGACTTCTTCCAATGGGGCCCATAGAAACAAAAAGGTTGGACACTCCTGTTATAAAATATATATGATATATTTTTATTTATTTATACATATAATGGAATGAATATTTGAATTTGCAAGTTTTATATTTTATTGCATTTTACAGGGTGATTCAAAAGGTTGGTCTCAACTTTGAGAGCATATAAAGGGGATGAAATAGAGCAAGACTGCCCAAACCCAGACCTGTGGGCCACTTTGTGGCTCGCCAACACATTTGAATTTGCCTGCCCACAGTAGTGATTGGCTGTCACCATGCACAATGTCATGCTGTGGTGTACCACCATATTGTTCTTTCTGTATAAAATGAAAATATGTAGATATTTTCCTATTTCCTTTCTTCCCTCTTTGTCCTTTGTTCTATGGAACATTCTAGAAACTTCTAACCACGTGGAGTGAATTGACCTACTTGGAAAACAAAGGGAAAAGGGGGAGCCCTGAGGGTGAGAATGAATAGGAATGGACACTCTTAGCCCGGACGTCGGAGAGGAAGGACGTGTATGAGAGATCTCTGGACTGTTTTAGCAGCATTCAGAGATATAGACCTGGACGGACCCATAGAACTTTGGCATAAAAGCACGCACGAGATTAGTGGAAAAAGATTCCTTCTTCAGTGTAGAGGACATTTTCACCTGTTCCCCCCAGCGAACCGAGAAGAGTACATATTGGCCATCTTCATTAAAACTAGAGCGTCGACCACCATTGGGTACCCATCTCTCATTCCTCTTTCAATCTATACGTCTTAAATTCTGTCCCTTTCTGTTTTATTCTTGATAATTAGTTTTAAGTCTTAGATATATATGTATTTTGTCGCGATCGAAATTGTCGGTTAGATCTTGACTTTGTCGCGGGTTTTGTCTCAACATTCCTACCTGCGCGTGGGATTCTTTGTTCCTACGGGTAAGCCCAGTACCTAAAGGAGTGTCGGAATCGAAAGATCTTATAGAACATAAATTTAAAAGGAGTAACCAACTGATGAAAAATAAAGGTTTTTTTCATTGTTTTATTCGTGTTCCCTTTTTGCTTTAACAACTCACCATTTGGTGACCACAATGCTACCAATAATGCCAACCGCCCATGTGATTCGTCGAACATGGAATGAATTATGACTTAAGTCACCACCACACTGCTGTTAATACCTAACCTACGTGTTTATTACACTTGTTCTATTAGTTTTGAGTCGACTTTTGTGTATTAAAATTAAATTGTTGTCACCAAATATTGAAAAATTATTAGCTAATAAGCCCCTTCATAGGTCTCCTTGATGTATTTTTCATTAGATATTATTAAAACATGTGCAACTTAAAGCTTTTGTTTGATTCAAATTCCTATCCATTTATAGAAGAATCATGAGTGTAAGCAAGTATGATTCACTAGGTGGCCTGCCAGCTGACATGTAATTGAAATTATAGCCAGCCTCTAAAATGAATTGGATAGCCCTGAAATAGAGGATCCTTCAAGTAGGAATTGGTGTTAATTGCTGATATATTCGTGGGTCAATACAAACCACAGAAAGTAAGGAACTATATCACAGACTGCATGACAACATAAAACATACAAATAAATGAATATTTAATACAGAAACAGAGTACATGAATGAAAATGTAGTGCATCTAAAATGGTGCTGCTATAAAAGTTGCTCAAATTGGTGACCCCCCACTTGATCTTCAAAGGAAACTCTTCTCCCCTCTCTCAAATATCCCAGGTATCTCACAAACCACATTTGCTTCTGCAAGCATTCTGGCTAACAGTGTTTCCTTGGTTGCCCACCAGTGTCTTGTAAACAAGGCTTTTGATATGCCCCCAAACAAAGTAATCCAGAGACGTCAAGTCTAGAGAGCTTTCTGTGGTTTGTACCGATTCAAGATTATATCAGCAAACACAAGGTCTTATTCAAAAGTGACTCCATTTCAACCTCTTTATATGATCCTAAAGTCTGAGACCAACTTTTTAAATCACTCTGTATATTTCATAAGTTTTAATAAAATATATGATCTAAACATATACTTTATCACTTTCAACTTTATGTGTTTTCTAAAATAAATGTATACAGTGAAATGTCAAAAATCCAGACTAATTGGGGCCAGATCCATATGATCTGGCCCCAATTAGTATATTTGTATATTTATATAACATATATATTTAAAAATCCATGGAGTTTTAAATATACAGTAGTGAATTGAATATTCTTTAATATAAAGTATATAATATAAACATTCTTCAAGTAATACATTTTTATATATTTATTTATTTATTTAGTATTTTATTTGTAAATTCAGCATAAAAATCAGAAGTATACTGTATAAAATTATTTATAATAAAGATACCTCTTGATTACTTCCATTGCAGTTAGCTTTATTAATTGTATCACTGGTTAAATCTGACCAATAAATGTTGCCATGCTCATTTTCCCAATCCAATGCAACTGCACTACTGATATTTTTTAATGGAAGAACAATACTTATTCCTTCTTCACAATCCAAACATAAATAACGAATATCAATTCTTCGTGTGAATACTAAGAAAACATTTAAACCTAAAAAGTATAACAAATTTGGAATAAAATTTTTAATAACCATCCAAAAATTAATAAATAAAAAGTAACAAAGATATTTACTTTCTTTACATGTCTTTCCATCCTCTTTAAGTGGTAATCCATAAGGACAAGAACAACTATAACTGGAGTTATTAGGAAGACAGAGATGACTACATTCATTAACATCTTCACAATTATATTTAACTAGAAATTTTAATTTAAAAATTTAACTTAGTTATAAATAATAATAATTTATTGAAAAATATTAAACTCACCATCTGGTTGTCTTAATGAATGAATAACAATTAAATCCATTGGAAAATGTAATTTGGAATGAACAGTGGCTATGTTGCGTCCAGTAAATTTATTAGCGCTATGGATGCTTTTTGTCCGCCAGTCTGTCCAATAGATTGTATCTTCAAATACAGTTATGGCAAATGGGTGAGGTAATCCTAAACATAAAACATTTAAAATAATAATTTATTAATTTTATTTAATTTACAAGTAATAAAAAAATTACTTACCCTGATCAATAACTCTTCTGCGTCCACTTCCGTCTAGATTAGAACTTTCAATAACATGATGTTTTGCATCTGCCCAATATAATCTTTTAGTAGGATAATCAATTGTTAAACCATTTGGCCAGAAAAGTGAAGTACTGATAATAGCTTTTCGATAACTGCCATCAAGAAATGCTTGTTCAATTCTAGGTCTTAAACCCCAATCTGTCCAGTATAATGTCCTATAACAATGAGTATTAAAGTAAATTTCCAATTAAATTATTCTGTATAAAAATATATTTTCAAAATTCAAATTTTTAAGCATGCATAATTAATTAATTGACACAAAAATATGGTAACTAAAAATACTTAACTGATAAACACATTAAAGATTCTTTCTTAAGTTTGATATTATTAAATATTTTAAATAAAATGAAATTATAAATATGAAACAAAAATTTCTATTTAGATAAATTTTTTATGTATTTTATAAAAGAAATTTGAATAAAATAGAAACATATTTGAATTTTTTTTTTAACCAATATTGTACTCAGTTATACTTTAATATATATATTACATTTTTACAAAAATAATTGTAATTATATAATACAGTAACTAAAGAAAGTTCTCAAACTATAATTTTGATGATATATTATGGTGCAAAATTATATCAAAATGACATGAAGTGTGCATAAGCTGGCAATTGTGGAGTGAGGTGTCATCATCACCAGATCAGAGAACCTGGTAAATGCAGGTAAAGAACAGTTCTTTACAGCTTCATCAGCCATGAATTTTTGCTAGTTCAGAAAGCTATGCACGTGAAGGCATATCTTGCTGCTAAATCTTATGCAAAATATGTTTTGCATACAATTTATCAAGTTTGATTTCCTGACAATGAAAAATCTTCAAAAACTAGTGTTTATGAATTCATTTCAACTCCTCCAGTAAAAGAAGTGGATGCCTCAAAACAATGGCATCAATATTTGTGGAATATGTTAAGCAACATTTACTGAAATCACCACAAATCACTTCAATGTTTATCACAGCAGATTGATATATCATAGCCATATATCTAATAAACAATTGAAGTTTTGAAGTAATTAACATCTAAAACTGGTATTAACTACAAATACTATATGCTGATACCCAAAACCAGCAAATAAACTCCAAAACTTTACTCAAACTAACATCTTCAGGTTACAACCATCAAATACAGAACGGAACTAACAATTGTGAGGCTCTGAACAGGTCTGAACCCTCACAGAAATTCGAAATTAAAATAATTTCTTTTTGGAAAGGAAAAAATAGAAGTTAGAAGTAGTTATTTTGTATAAAACGTGGTGCAAACTTTTAAACAATAGAAGAATTTAAGTCCATGACCATTTCCGGTTGAGGATTGAATTAAACTTCACTTTTGATCTTTCCCATGATCTATGTTGAGATTGCATTACATATAATAATGAGTGATCAACTACTTAGAAAGCAAGAAAGAGGAAAAGTGATCAATTGGAATGGGCGATCAAAGATGGAAATTAATAAAACCCTGAGAATTCAAGGACGTGATGGCTTCTCCCGAAAGTTCCAAGTGTCAAACCAGTTGTTGGGTATGTGTCTCATGCCCATCTTCATCTCCATCTTTCGACCTTGGATCAACATCTTACCACAAGTTGACTGCATCATCCCAAAGCATCGAGGGAACAGTCATTCATGAACCAGGGACACTCCTTCATTTGGAACTATCTTGGAAAGGAGAGGAAGACCCAAAGGCCACTGCCAACTTGGAACTTCCAAGATTGCAGAAATCTTATAAGTTTTTTTTTTCTTTGGTCAAATAAATGGTTTCTTGTAACTGTAAAGTTTGTCTCGGTGCTGATCACCCATATATGACACATTGCCACCCCTCGATCCTCTTGACATTTCCACCCCTGTTGGCAACCTTACACAATTTAAAAAGTAGAACAACTTTTGTCCATTTGAAAATGGAATAAAATGTTTATTTGAGTAAAATGTTGAAGCTTATTTGCTGGTTTTTGGTGTCAATGTATAGTTTTTGAAGTTTTGATCATACTGGACAATGATGAAACTACAATGACATAAAGTCATTTGATGAAATGTGTCAAGCAAAAGTCTTAAGACCATGAAAAACAGAATCACCTGATCCATGATTAAAACAATTCTTTTGATCATGAATTGGATGATTCTTTTTTCAGTTGAAGGTTAAAGACTTACTGGACACTTTAAGGTTTCAACAATTCACATGTAACATTTCCATTTTGAATACTATGTATTTTACTAATGAGGCTCAGTTCCACCTTTGTGGTTATGTAAACTCTCAAACAACATGAATATCAAGCAACTGAAATTCCAAATGCATTACACATCAAGTTCTAGTCCACATAAAAAAATTAACATTTTGTGCTCCAATTCCATAACACAGATTAATCAACCAAAGTTGCTTTTAAACTACTATGATTTCTACTATTCAAACATTATGAAGCTACTGAACAACATGCCACACATAAATGAATAACAAGATCATCTCCCAAAAATTTTTTTCTTTAAGATTAACAATAACTGTTGGAGTACTGAAAGACAGTCTATAAATACAAACATCTCCAACCTGATATATAATATAGCTACAACCAACAGACTGCCGAAAATCTATCGGGCTAGTTTTATGCTAATTATTAAATAAATTACGTAATCAATTTGGTACTAGAGGTAAGCGTTAGGCGCCATCTCTTATTAATATTAATAATTATAAATAATTTTAATTAATTTAAATAATTTGGAACCGCTGGGAGAAAAAATCGGCCCGGAGCGGGACTCGAACCCACAACTCCTGCTTACCGTGCAGATGCGTTGCCAGTTACGCTACCCGGACCTCCGATCCGATCTCCTCTTCCAGCGTATATAATCTAACTAC